AACGCATCACATAAGTTGTTTTTGCTAGCTGGGCTGTCAAATGGGAACTTAACATCTCAACAGCATATAAACAAAACAAGATGATTTGGAGGCGGACAACTGTTTTCGATAAATTCTTTTTCAGGCTCTACAGTTATAAATCCATGAGTATTATAATACAAATAGCCCTTAAAGGCACGTGAAAATTATATCGGAAGCTGTATTGTCTATTCACACTTTATCTTATGTTCTGAATGACCGCACATTTTATATACTTTCACTTGACAATATTAAATACGGAACTCTCATTCCATATAATACATGTACCCCCAACACAGCTTCTGACATAATTTTCACATGCCTTTAAGGGCTATTTGTATTATGGTACTCATGAATTTATAAATGTAGAGCCTGAAGAAGAATTCATCGAAAACAATTGTTTTCTCCAAATCATCTTGTTTTGATTACACTATGGGGATTTTTAATATAAACAAAGGATAAAAAATCCCTGTAGGAAAGTTAATGATCGTCGAAACGCCAGAGACCAACAGAGAAGAGCCAGAACCACAGACAACCATAAATCCATAGTGCACCCAGAACTTCGAGCATAAATCAACGTCCCTTGGGATAATTTTACATATTGCCACATCGTTGGAAATCGCCTTGGAAACATTAGTGAAATCAGTTGACCCAAAGCCTACTCTCCAGTAAAAAGCTCTTCAACATTTAAGAGAGATAGAACTGACAAGGGAAGGCATTCTATCAGTTCCCGTTTTTAGTGGCAGCCAACAGGCTAATATGGACGTAGTTGACAAAAAACAACAGTCATCTGCGGACTTAAAATGGATAACCCACAGATTAAGTTATGTAAGCGGTACAAGGAGAACATGTCACCTAATAAAAAACCCTACCATTGAAAATCAATCTGAACTCTACCAAGATAGCGAAACAAGTTATGTTTTTATCTAATATGTAAGTTAATAACCTATCGTTAGGCATGAGAGTGAAACCAAGTGTTCAACAAATGACGAGAAATTCAACTGTTAAATGAATTTGATTTTTTTAGAAATGCTATCAGTAAGCTTTATTCCCTTTATTTAAATTCAAATTATATACTTTGATGGTACTTGTCACTTCCATTACTGGTATAATATAAGGCAAGGATTCATCCACAGTTCTATTTGTTAAAATAAACAATTTGTACTGTACTATAAATATCGACCCCCTTCCCCCGATAACCAGCAGGTGTAATACGTCATGTGGTTTTTATTTTCTTAAAATATTTTGATTTCATTGTCTGTTTTATGTAATAAATGGTTAAATCACCGTGTCTGGTAGCTCCCTCCCCTCTTGCTTATATCTACCATCATTATTCGAATAATAAATCGAAATTCTATTCTTCTTTGATTTTTTTTAAAATAACTATTTCCGTCTTAAAATTGCTACTGTATTTAGTAATGATTGTACCTTTGTTAGATGATTAGAGGCGATCAGTATTCGACTCCATTTCATGCAATCAGTTTGGTTTGTTTTTCGGGACTTATTATACCTTGTTGTAACGATAGAAGCCGAGCGACTTAGTGAATGAATGTTTATTTGCAATTTTGTATCACTGTATAGCGAAATTATGTACACCTTTTGTTCAAATTACCATTTGCACAGATATTCCGTGATGTGCTACTTCTGGCCTTCATATTGTGTTTCTTTGTGTTCCTTTCACGTCTCCCACGTATCTCCTCACCACTGTATCATTTGGTTTCTTTGACGTCAAATCTATCTCCTTGCTCTCTACGACTATGAACGTCTCTTTATATACTACTGGTAAACCTTATCAGTAGCACACGCCACACTATAAATAAAGAATTATTGAATAGATGATCAAAGTGATTTTTATTTATATCACAAATCAGTTTGATTCAGTCAGTGGTATTTTAAAGTCCTTACATAAAATCGAACTCTGACTACAATGTAAAGATTTTCACAGCAAGATTTCAAATACCCGTTTGTCTCAATATACTCGAAAATGATATCCATAGAAGTTCTTGCCTCTTGAAGTAACGGTGAAGATTTATAGCTCAGTTGGATAATTTTAATGTGATTGTGTTCTTTTATCAACAGCTTTTATTGCTTTTGTGGAAAAATTCACCTGCGCTTCACCGTATCGTGCCTTACTACTCACATACTTCTTCACAGCCTTACCTCAAACTATTGTATAGGCAATTTCAATTAAATGTAAAGGAAAAGTAGATGTTTTTTCGCTTAATTTATTTATTGTACATTTCAGAATAAGGATTTTTTGTATTACGTATCTTTTTTCTTCTGAAAAAAGAATTGCAAAAGGTAGTTTTAACAACAAATCGATACGGGTTGAAGCGAAACCGAAGATATCAGAATATCGAATAAAGCAATACCTGTGAATTATTCAGCTATTCTAGAATTTTAAAAATAACTCACCATTAATAATATTTTAGCCGCCATTTGTACTTCACTTAATCCCGCACATACTTATCTTTTAACCTGCATTACATCTCGTATTAGTGAAAACAGAATACGTAGTTTGACGAATTCGCTGAAAAGCGACTCTTCGCTGAACTACATGTTCTGCTCTCATTAATGTGTGAATGGGGATTATTCAGAGATTTCGTATTCTTTATTATTTTCGGTTGTTGCTGTCTTACACAATTTACACATATAATATTCAGACTGTAAACTATTTTGGCAAAAAATATTAATGGGTTTTAGTATCATTATTATTATTATTATTATTATTATCGTTAAAATTTGTTCTTATGGTGAGACTATATTGTAGCACTATACTACTATTCATGTAACCGGTCACGATTGAACGTGAAATGAAAATCTGTTTCGCTGATCACCGATGAAACCCAGCTGCTAATCAGGTAATCCTTTCAGTGTAGGTATGATGAATAATGTCGAACCTTCTGTTTATCGCCACACCAGCTACGTATCTAGTAATTATAAGTTCCGATCATAGTCAACCAAGGGAGAAACAAGCTTTCAAATAATAGTAAACGGTTTGTGATAGCTTTTCTGATCGGACAGATTTGAGGCAGTTGATGTCATTATTTCCTCTATCTGCCTTCGTGTGTAGCTGAATGGGGTTACGATTATATCTCCCCTATGTTGGTGGACTCATTATGGTGGCTACATTCGAAGAGTATGGGGAGGGGGTTCAACCGGCAGGTGAATTTTCGAAGAATTTAGGTGTAAGCTCCTATAGTGTGATCTATTTTTTATCTTTCAATAAATGTCAGAAGAGTCATGTATGCTAACATACATTATCAGCTTAAACTTATCGTTACTGTATAATAGTCCAGTTTACCGAAGCTTATATTTATACACTGAGTCGTAGGGAATTAATTGGGGAGGTGAAGTACTCTCCTTAATATTGTGTTAATGAAAGCCTAAAAACTTATATCCATTAGATTACTGCTGACTGACTCTTGCAATCTAGCAGATGTGAAGCAATTTATTATTATTATTATTGTATCCTTTAGTTCCTAGAAGAACATAGGGCTTCAGCTGCGCACCTCCATTGCCTTCGGTTTTCTGACAACTTTTTCACCCTGCTCCAGGTTTGTCCACATGCTTTCATCTCCTCCTCGCATGACCTCCTCCAAGTCACCCTTGAACGACCAACTCGCCGCCTCCCTTTCGGGTTCCACTTGAGGGCTTGTCTAGTGATGTCACTTGATGGTTTCCTCAGCGTATGGCCAATCCATCTCCATTTCTTCCTGCCTATTTGTTTCACAATCGGTTCCTGATTGGTTCTCTCATTGCCAGAGATCCCTGTTTCTGATCTTTTCTGGCCATCTGATCTTGAGTATTGAGCGGAGACAGCTGTTAATGAAGGTCTGAAGTTTGTTTGAGATGCTCTTTATGACTCGCCAAGTCTCTGATCCGTATAGTAGCACTGACTTTACATTGGAGTTGGAAATCCGGATGTTATTTTTGATGCTGAGTGCTGTTGACCTCCACACAGATTTGAGAGTAATGAAAGCTTGTCTTGCTTTTCTGATTCTAGCTTTGATATCTTCGTCAGTTCCGCCTGTAGTTGAAACGATGCTTCCCGGGTAGGTGAAGGAGGTTGTTTCTTTCAGGTTCCTCCCATTTATGCTGATTGTTGCTGTTGATGTTGGCTAGGAATCTTCATCACCTCTGTTTTATCCATGTTCACTTGAAGTCCTATCTTTGATGCTTCTTCTGCCAACTTGTTGCTTTTCACTTGCATATCTTCCAGTTTGTGGGAAATCAGACATATATCATCGGCGAAATCCAGATCCTCCAATTTATTTGTCAACAATAAATTTTCGTGATCCAAATATTTTCTTTTTTCATCAATAACTAATCTTAGCAACACGTTTTTTTAAAGTGATGCTCTATTCGTATATGTATATTTTATAAATAATTATAAGGCGAACAACATAGGTACCCTCCATCTTCAACTTTATCAGTTAGATGTCTGTGTGATTAGTATACACTGAAAGATAATACACATTGAAGTAATTAGAGCGAACACTTGTTTTCAATAAATTTAAGAATTTATTGCAGACTGACATCAAAAATCTCGAAGGGAGAAATTCAAGTTTTTAAAGTCGTATTTGTAATTATCAGAAACTATAGCAGTTTAACCTGGATGAGTAGTCTCATTTATTCACACATGAATTTAAACGATACTTAAATACTTCTTTTATAGTTTTCATCATAAATTATATTGAGATTTAAGTATATGTATTTATTCCTATTTGCGAGTTCCCGTTGATATGTACAATTGAACTGAATCAATAAGCGTCATTTTTTGACTATATGACCCCTTTGAACGAATGTCCGCATTTCACCAGTAGTCTCTAAGACAGGTGTTCTGTCCTTCATTAGGGATCAAGTGTACTCAGCCGACAAATAGCAAATAGGACAAAACATGCGTCCTAGATTCGTTTTGCATTTTATATATATATATATATAGCATGTTTACTTACACCTAATTTCGTTTATATTTCTAGCTAATTGATTGGCATTTAACATTACCTCAAATGTCCAATAATGAGAATGAATCGCAACCACAAAAACAACAAGGCCAGCATCTGGAATCACAAAGTTCTACAACTGAAGGGCAGGTTAATAATGAAAAGTCAACGAAATATATTAAAATCAATTTTATGCCTATATTTGTCAAGTTTATAAATAATATTTCACCTAATTTATTAACATGGCCATCTGAATTAAATCAATTGGAAATTGTGTCAAGAAGTAAGTGTCTATTTATATATTTCTGTGTGTGTTTATTCGACTTTTTAATGGCTTATTGACATCAAATAAAGCACAGTTGGGGACGTCAAGGCACTAGAAAGTTTTGTATTTCTTCGAAATAGTTTAACAGTATACAAACACAATATCGAAGAGTTTTCTACTCTAGGATCTAAAGATAACCATTCAATCATTGATCCGTGTCCTCTACTCTATTCAGATCTCACTACGTTTTAGTAAAACAATCTGATGTTCTTGTTCAGTAGCTATGATCTAGTGCTTAATTACTCACTTATCACACAGTTACTACTTGGTTAATTGGTATTTTCAGGGTACATGATGTTATCATCATGCATCAATAAATTGACTTTCAATTCCCATGCCATTTTGTTAGGAAGTCTCTGAAAACCAAGGGGTACTGTATAGTTCTTTCGTCCTCGTCTCGGACTCTAACTAGAACCTTCAGGTTATGAAGTCAGCCCTTTAACCATTTACCCACTAGATTGGAATCCAATGACTGATAAATTTTACGCGTTTCCTAGTTCACTATATGGCACTACCGCCAACCAACACCGCTTCACACTCGACTTAGGGGACTCTAATTTGTCACGACTTTTCATTAGTATATCAGAACATTCATTCCTAACTCAAATAGTGTAAAAAATGACTGCTTCCCATGCTTTAACACGAATGATGTCCTCAAGTGTCTTCAGTCTCTCAAACCTACTCAGTCCCTTGGTCCTGATGGTGTTCTTGCTGTTATCCCTAAGAAGTGTGCCGACATCTTGTGTTCCCCTTTAACTGACATTTTCAACGAATCGTTTTCCAAAAGTATTATACCTGAATCATGGAAAAATATCAAGATCGTTCCAGTGCCTAAATCAACAAGTGGACCTAATGTTAAGTTTAGACCCATTGCAATTACCTCACCTTTTTTGAAAGTTATGGAAAGACTTATTTTACTTAATCTTGATCCCTCTTTAAAGCCTTTCAACGACCCCAACCAGTTTGCTTATAAACATAGTAGGTGTACGTTAGATGCCGCTGTTGTCCTACATCATAGTATAGTCTCTAGTTTAGATAAAGGAGCTAAATACGTTCGCTGTGCCTTCCTTGATTACACATCTGCATTTGACTCTGTTCCCAGGTCTCTCTTGCTAAGTAAGCTTGCTGCAACACAGGCTGAGAGCTGGACAAATAAGTGGTTGCATTCCTATTTTTCTGATAGGAAGCAGTACACCGTCTACAATGGAAAGTCCTCCACTACCTCACTTACTTTAGCTGGTGTTCCTCAAGGTGCTGTTCTTTCTCCCTTTCTGTTTTCGTTTTTCTTACATGACTTGCCTCATTCTGATGTAGCCACTTTTGTTAAGTATGCCGATGACCTCTCTGTTTCTATGCCTGTCAACTCTCAGTCAGATTGTTCCAAATTAAATAACTTTCTGTCGGAAATTAGTCAGTGGTCCTCTTCAAACGGTCTTAAGCTGAATCCGTCTAAATGTCAGGTAGTCAATTTCACTTTCAGACGTAAACGTGACCTACAGCAACTAGTTAGCTCACATGGCCCCACTATCATTGACGGCACAGAGGTTGAAAATACATCTAATGTCAAGTACCTTGGGCTGAGTTTTTCCACCGATCTTTCCTGGTCCTCCCACATCTTGCTAGTTACTAGAAAGATGTTTCGCTTAACGTTCTACGTTAGGAAATTTAGGCAGTCTGGCATAAAGCAATCTTTGCTTTCTCAGTTTGTCAATTCTTGTATTCTACCCATCCCTCTTTACTGCTCCCCATTAATCTTTCCTGGACTACTTAAGAAAGACTTTGCTTTGCTGAGAAGGGCACTAAAAGCCGTTAGTAGGGCAAGTGGGATATCGTTAAACCAACTGGTTTACACTATTGTGGATAGACATATTATGTCATGTAAGAAACTAGCGAATACAATATTGTCGGACCCCGAGCATCCTCTCTATACTCAGCTGTCTCCTTGCATTTCATCTGGTAGAACTAGAAGCAGCTACAGGAGGCTATATGCTAGGACTACCAAATACAAAAACTCCACAATACCATATCTGGCACAGCTGTTATGTGATGAGAAATCCGTTAGGTATGACACGATCAACTTACTGCGGTACTCTAACAAATAGTCCCATTAGTTTTTGTTTTCCTTTCCTCGTTAATATTACACTGTTGTTCTCATCCTCTATCACACATCAACTTTATATTTCATATCCTGTGGTGCATTGTTTGAAATGTAAACTCTACGCTGTTTGTTTTTTTAATTTTTATTTATCTTTTATTTTTTGGCGTTGGTTTTTTTCTTCATTTATTTATTTTTTTGCTTTTAAAAATCTTATAAAATTAATGAGGTAATTAGATGCAGTATATTGTAACGCACGCTGAAAATTCCATACCTGTGCCACAAATACCGTTTGGAATAAAGCTATTATTATTATTATTATTATTATTATTATTATTATTATTATATCCTTCACAGATGATTACCATGCTAGGACGAAGCAGCTGTTTTCAATTGATTTATTATTCGTCTAATATGAATAATGATTATTTCTATTTATATATTTATCTTTGTATTTTTCTTCCTACCTTCTAGTTAAAATATCGCATCTTTTCAAACGAATTGAATATGTTAAATCAAGTTTAAATTTTTTACTAAACTATTCAAAAACTATTGAAAATGTAAATAGTAGTATTGGTAATGGTGGTAATGAAGAACATGGTAAACCCGGAATATCAACAACAACAACAAGAATGAAATCCAATATTTTATCAAATGAAATGCCAGTCGTTGACCACTTATCTCAATTATTAATGAAAACATCTGAAACTATATGGATTATTGTACATTCAACAGCCTACTGGATAGTGTCTTCTCACTATTCAGATACATCGAGTTCATCATGTTATTATGATGGTTTTCTGGTATCTGATGAATGGTTAAATCCTCTTGTCAGATTTACTGCTTCATTTAAGGTATGATATTTCCTTTCATCTTGATAATTAAACTGTTTATCATTGGGTTTTGGATAAATATATACGATAATAATGGATAATAAGAAATAACGCGATGATCTAAGTGGTCCTGGTGGAATCGGGATTCGTTGTTGTGACCACCGAACTTCCAGTCAACGGGCCACTAGTTTGAACCCCTACCGGCGCCGGTCTACTTACCTAGGTTTGGACAGTGTGGGTAGTATCAGTAGTTTTCTTATTTTATGTTTACCTGATTACCAACTACATAGAAATGCAAAGCAATTAGTGTTTATATATAGTGTAGAAAGATTTCCAAAATGAAGGGTAGGAATTATGAAACTCTGGGACTACAACTTTCTGCTCAAAGAGAGAAAATATGGATGAGAGGTGAAGAAACCTCTCTTGAAGGGATGGTGAATCTTCAATCCAAGCTTGGCTGCGGTAGGTACAGCGTCTGAAAGTGTTCCTTCTCAATACACAGCTCTGGATTAGTCTGTCTTAGTTCAATAGCCTCAGTTATATGTAGAAGACTGTGTATGATAATGTGCTTGGAATGTAGTATATAACCCTGTGGTTTATACTACCCTGACTAATCTTACATTAAAATTCCTCATTAATCCCCAGGATCTTTTCCTCCTGTTTTCCCTTTTTGTCTCTTCGTTAAAACAGGTTTAATCACAGGGATTTATAATTTCTACAGTTCATCCTAGAATCGTTCAAACACTTACAGAAGAGGCTTATTAATCAATGTCGTGTGTCATTCGTTAGTGGATTGTGTTAGGCTCTAACCATATCCTCACACACTTAGTCGCTTTATTATTCTTACTATAAATTTATTGTGTGCATTAGAATTATTCTTTCAAATCACTTCAGAATCTTTTATTACCCAAATTGGTAGAATTATGGAAATAAGGTTGGTGTGTCTAATACCAATGATCAATATTTTCAGAACATCTGTTATGTTAATTCATTTCTTTTTCACTGGTGTTTATCTAGAAACTTCACTATTGTGTGTTTGTGTCAGACAGGCATATAGGAGATAGAATGAGATTCAATAATCTAAGAGTAGAATATACTGGCAGGATGGTAGGATATAACATGAAGTTATCTATATGTTACTTTATAGTTGATTTAATATAGAATGCAGTAGTACAGTATTGATAACTATTGATAAATCTTTTTCCAGTAATATTGTGCCTGCCGTTTGGTAGGACATTAAAGTTGTACCTATACCTAAATCCTCTACTGTAGCATGTGTCAAATTTAGAGCCATTGCTATTACCTCTCCTTTTTTGAAAACTCTGGAGAAATTACTCCTGCTTAGTCTTGTACCTTCGCTTAAGTCCTTTATTGACCCTAAACAATTTGCCTATAAGCACAGTAGAAGCACTTTAGACGCAGCTGCCGTCTTGTATCGTAACATTGCTACCAGTTTAGACAAGGGGGCCAAGTTTGTTCGGTGTGCCTTCCTAAACTATACATCTGCTTTTGCCTCGGTCCCTAGGGACATCTTATTAAATAAACTTACTGCAAGTCAAACAGAATGTTGGGGTGTTAACTGGTTACATTCCTATTTCTCAGAAAGAAAGCAGTACACCGTGTAAGGGAAGTCTTCCACTTCATTGCCTACTGAAACTAGTGTCCCTCAAGGCGCTGTCCTTTCTCCTTTTCTTTTTTCTTTCTTTTTACATGACCTGCCTCACTCTGATGAAATCAACTTTGTGAAGTACGCTGATGGCTTAACAGTTTCAATGGTTGTTAACCCCCAGCTAGATTGTACCAAAATAAATAGCTTTCTGTTGAGAGTCAGCAAATGGTCTGAGTATAACTGTCTTAAACTGAATCCTTCTAAATGTCAAACTGTTAATTTCAGCTTAAGATGTAAAAGACAGCTAAAAGAAGTCATCGATTCTCATGACAGTTGTAAGATTGACGACAATAATATAGGAATCAAATCAAAATCAAGTATCTTGAACTTATTCCCTCTTCTGATCTCTCCTGGTTTTCCCATGTCTTAGCGATCTCCAGTAAAATATTCCGCCTGACATTTTACATCAAGATGTTAAGACACTCGGGTATAACTTAACCCCTCCCTCCAATTACAGTTAATAAACTCTTGCATCCTACCTATGCTTCTTTATTGTTCATCCTTATTCTTTACTGGTTTGCTTAAAAAGGACTATGTCACAATTCGTAGAATGCTGAAGACGGTCAGTAGGGTGGGTGGTGTCCCAGTGGATCACATAGTTAATGTCGTTGTCGATAGGCACTTGACTTCGTGCAATAAATTTGCTAAAGGGATTTTGTCTGACATGGAGCATCCACTTTACCCTCAGCTTTCACCCTGCATCTCCTCGTGTAGAACAAAAAGTAACTTCAGAAAACTGTATGCTCACACGTCTAAGTATAAAAATTCTATGATACCATACTTGGCACGTATTTTATGTGATGAAAATAGTGTCAGATAAGAATTAAATAACCTTTTTTCATCTAATAAATAAACAATTTCCTCCATCCATCCTTATATACTTTCAAGTTTTACTTCTATTTCTATTATATTTATGGTCCTGTTGCTTCTTTGTTTTACTCTCGTAATTGCAAGCACCAACTTATTTCTATGACTGCTGTAATCTTTGTTTTTCCCCTCACCATATCATGTAAAGAGAACATTATATTCAATAATTTTAAACATGCTAGGATTTCTATACCGCATCAACATTACTCTGTGAAACAAGTTCACGGTAATTTTCACTTGTATTGTTATTACCTTAGCTATTATCACTATTATTATTTCATTTTGACATTATCCCTGTTGTAAATGTGGAAAATTTTCTGTGTGATTAATTTTACTTGTAATTTGAGGAAATTAGATGCAATATTGTGATTAATGCTGAAAATTTCATTCTGTACCACAAGTACTGTTTTTGGAATAAAGTAAATTATTATTATTATTACTATTTTTATTAGATGAGTACAATTCGAGTACAAATTATTTGTCATAATCTTAGCAGTATATTCACACGACTATCTAGTTCTGTTTCATTCTGTTTTTCTCTTGTTGAGTCCTTATCCACTGACATACTTAATTAACCTCCAATCAGTTAATATAATGTATGCATTTAACCTCACTGTTTGGTAAATTATATTATTTTCTCTATTTAGGTCAATGAGGTTACTTAAACCAAAAATTTTTGTCTGTGAGTAGTTGTATAGATTTGAATACCACCCTAATTTCAGCCTTATTAAAAACCCTTACTAGGCTTCCAGATGTCACTTTCTTATGTGGCAATATTCTGGCGGTTTTAATTTTTTTTATTAATCATTTCATGCTCATTATTTCTGCCGCTACTACTTACTGGTGCTATTTTCCCATGGGTGTTTATAATTTTTTAGATGAATTCTACTAGGTATTTTATTTAGTGGTCATCTTTTCCTTATCCGTTTGAAATCTGACTCATTGTGTTGACTCCTGGCTGAATTACTTGAAAATTTAAGTAAACCCACTGTTACTTAATATCGAGTGGAATAATTTAAAATTTCATTACTGACAGAGGATGTAACTTTTTTATAGATGCTGGTACCTAATCCATCTTGTTTTCGATGTGCCAACAATCTGTTCATTTTCTAACTTAAAATTGAAGTGAATTTTATTTGTCATTGAGTTTAGATATATGCAATAATTAGATGCATGTACAACTTTCAACATTTAAGAAACAGCTTGTACTGCTAACTTGCCCATAAATATATCTGTAGTGTATGTACACAACTTCCGACCTTGCTTTATATGGGTATATGTTACCTTCTGTTTTTCTCTTGTATAATTTTCTAAATGTTCCAGATGGGTGTAGCCTTATTCCCATAGATATATATTTGTTCACTATTCTTGTATTATTTTGACTTGATAGTACATATTACTTCACAATAACGAAGAAAGTGTATAATAATAATAATCGCTGACATATAACAGATAATATGGAAAATTAAAGGAAGAATTTAAGATATAAGAATACAACTTGTGCACTGTGGTAGAGTATAATTCCATTATGGGTAAAAAAAATTTTGATAAAGTCTCACAGTGTTATACAGTAAATTTTACTCGAAACGTAATCAGTAAACATTACTGCGTAACACTGTGGGACTTTATCAAAACAAATTTTACCCATACTGGAAGAGCATAAGAACTTTTAAAATCACACCTATTAAAACCTAATATACTCAATCGACAGATTCCTGAGAATTCACAATACTTACTTTGTATCATTTAACCTAAACGTTGAATCCTGTAATTTCGTGACAAGGAGATATTGGTTTCTTTGAAACTGTGCAGATACACCTAGTTGATGAGTGCAAACAAGGACGAAACCTCGGTAGAAAGCATCCTGACGATTATTTACAACCACCTTAGTAATTATGTTAAGTGTAGTTCAAAATTAGTTTATATTAGTGGTGGGATGATAAAAAGATGGTTACTTATGATTTATCTCTGATATATATCCATATAATGTGTGTTTGTTTGACAGTCTGATCTTGGTGATATGTTACCCATATAATATGTGTGTTTGTTTGACAGTGGTTATATTTTTCTATGTATGCATGGATCGATATTCCATTATAATTAGCCAATCATGTTAAGACTGTCTATTGATTTGTTCATTTTGAATATTCGCTCACACTTGTTCGGACATTCATATATATTTTTGCTCTCACACTCTTGTGTGACTTGGATTCTCCTTGTGTTTGGAAAATAGAAGTATCATCGCAAACCTAGTGGCCTTGTGATTTCCGTCTTTCTGCGTCAGGACTATTAAATTCTCGACCAGTGCATAACAATAATTTGGTGACGAGTACATATTAATCACCATGACAATTGCAGTGAAATGATGACCTGGTATAGTTAGCAACTGGCTCTTGTAACTCAACTGCTAGAATTGGTGATATGGGTTAAAATCTTTCTCAATGGCACAGATTCATTCACTCTCTGTGATCTACCATATCCATTG